TGTATGGATGTTAAATTCATGGCAAACTCTGATACTATAAAAAATATACAGGATTTGAGAATCCTTTGCTGAGGGATTCCAAAATGCTTTATAAAAAGAGACACTAATCATGCCTCTACTGCATCCATTGAGGTAGGTGAAAATTATTGTCCATGTTTTCATGACTTGAAGTGCAATACAGCTAAACAACTTGTTCAGTGGAACAGCTTCAACATGTCCCCAAAGTTCATTCTTTACAAGTGTAATTCCCAGTGTAACATTAGAGGAGAGACCCTGAAGGGATTGTTAGCTCAGGTGCACTTTGTCCTCATGAATGGATTGATGTTGTTAGCAGATATGGATTCATTGTCATCAGTGAGTTTATTATGAAAGCAGAGGTCACTGTGGTGTTCTGAATGAGAATGCCCCCGCCCTCCATAGGTTCATAGGTTTGAATGCTTGGTCACCAGGGAGTGATGCTATTTGAAAGGATTAGAACATGTGGCCTTGTTGGAGGAAGTGTGTCACTGGGGGTGGGCTTTTGAGGTTTTTAAAAGCCCAAGCCAGGCCTGGTAACCCTCTCTTCCTGCTGCCTGCAGATCCAGGTGTACAACTCTCATCTACTTCTTCAGCACCACATCTGTCTGCATGAAGCCATGCTCCCTGCCGTGATGATGATGGACTAAACCTCTGAAACTGAAAACCCATGAAATGTTTTCCTTTATTAGAGTTGCCATGGCCATGTGTCTCTTCACAGCAACAGAACAGTGACTAAGACAGTCATATAGCAAGTCTGTGCTCCTGTGGAAGGTCAAGCCCTGGCCCTGGGATGGAGGCTGGCATGCTAGCTTTAGAGACTTGACAGGATCTCATCTGAGTATTACCACAGAGAGGACACTCAGGTTATTGAAGCCAGGGATGAGAGAGATGGTTCTTTATACTTGAAGGGGCCTCAAGAGTCAGCACAGAACACACCCAGAGACTAAATTCTCAGCACAAATGAGATTTTATTTACCCCAGAAGGATAAGCTCTGGATCGGGCAAAGACAGCAATGGCTGACAGGCACCTGGACATTTTAAGGGCTCTAGCGCCCTGGAAAAGAAGAAAGGGGTTGTCCCCCAGAGAGGGTTGGGATGGCTGTCTCCAATTGGCTAGGAGGAGAACAAAGAAGATGAGGAAGTGGGCTTTTCACCATGTAGCCTGGTGGGTTTGAGAGACCAAATCAGGACCAACAATGCTACTACTATTTTTTTTTATCTAAAAAAAACAAAAAGAAAAGAAAAAAGGAATGTATTCAAATTATTTCCACCGTCTACTAAATATGGCTACTTAATAAAAAACAACTCTAAGCAGGTTTCCAAACTGAAACCCAGAAGGAAATCCTGCAATTCACTGTACTGATAACCCTTCAGCCAGACTCCTTATTACACCAGGTACAGTGTGGCGGGATCTCAGGTATAGTGGGACTCTGTGGAGGGGGTGAAGGAAGGCTCACGGGCACTGTAAGTAAGAAAGGGCACAGGACCTCCGTGTATTGTTGGAACACCCACAAGGAAAAGACCACCAGAGGGCCACACAGTCGGGTCTGAGTTTCTGATTAACATGTCACTTGAATCGAGCTTTAGAATCTTGAGAACAAGCTGGGCGTGGTGGCACACAGGAAACAGAGGCAGGTGGATCTCTGTGAGTTCCAGGACAGCCAGGGCTGTTAAACAAAGAAACCCTGTCTGGAGTGGGAAGGTGATGGTTGGTGGGGGGGGGTGGTCTCAAAAATAGTGTTCCTTATTGAGCCGTCACTCTCCTATATGAATCTGAAATACACACGGGCCAGAAATATTCATCTAGACTTGTATAGGGACATGCAAGGATCAGATCCATGGAACAGAACTGGAAGGGAAAGAAGAGAGAATTGCATTTATTGTCCTTAGGGTTTTTGTTGTTGTTGTTTTTGTTCTTTTTTTTTTTTTTTTTTTTTTTGGTTTTTTCGAGACAGGGTTTCTCTGTGTAGCTTTGCGCCTCTCCTGGAACTCACTTGGTAGCCCAGGCTGGCCTCGAACTCACAGAGATCCGCCTGGCTCTGCCTCCCGAGTGCTGGGATTAAAGGCGTGCGCCACCACCGCCCGGCTTTGTTTTTGTTCTTTTTTAGTGAGGTAGGGGTGGGGTTTGCTTGAGATGGGGGGTCTCACTATATAGCCTTGGCTGGCTTGGAATTCTCTATGTAGACCAGGCTGGCCTCAAACTCATAAAGATCTGCCTGCCTGTGTCTTCTGAGCATTGAGATTAAAGTCATGCAGCACCATGCCTGTCTCATCCATATGTTATTAAGCAGGCATTTGATGCCCTGTGGAATTACAATCTCGCAACAGACATTTGCAAAGGGTGTGCAGGTCAGCTGATCTGACCTACAAGGATCCTCTGTGAGTTTTTTTCTATGAGACTGAGACCTCAAAGGCAAGGCTACCTTAGAGCAGGTTGCTCCCAGTAGTCTCTATTCAGAAAGGCTATGCCTACTCCTACCTACTGAGCAACAGGGACAAGAGAGGCCTGTGGTCTTCAAAATACTGATGTTTTGATTTCTTCTGAACCTTTCCATACTGTTGTCTTCCTTAGGCTGTATGGTAGGGATGCTGCTTAGTTTGATGAAAGACACTCTATTCAGCAAAGCTCACAGCATTTCAGAGCCCACCTCAAAGCTTTGCTGCACATGTTGGCTTCGAGGATTGAGACGTTTTCTTGGAGAGAGGCGCTCAGCTCTCTGCCCTTCATTCTAGTGTTTCTGGGTGAGTGCCCAACTCCTCCCAACGACTGCTCATCCCACAAGCTTTGCACTATTACCTGGGAGCACTGGTGCATGTGGACCACATTGTTGGATAGGCAGGGGGCACTGACCATGCCCTCTGCTCTGGTCCACACAGAAAGGATTGGTTACAAAACCTCGTGTTCAGTGGTTCCCTGGCACAGTGTGAACATTTTGGGATTCATGAGTTCGAAAGCCCTTCTGAGCCAGAGACATTTCTAGAAGGTTTGCTGGACTTTTCTAAAGTCATTCATGTGACCAAGGTACACAGAGGGAGAGGGAGAGTGACTATAGAAGCCACACCAGTGTCCAACAACTTTCCTTGCTAGAGACATAGAAAGTCTAAGCCCAGGTGCATCGTGTCTGGAGAAGGACCACCCTGAATGTACACAAGAGATTCCTGTTAAGGGAAAGGAGGAAGGTAAGGGAACAGAGAGATCAACAGGAGGAAAGGGAAAGATGGTGGAAATCAAGCGTCAAGAATTAGGAGGCTAAGAGGTTGGTTATCTTCCCCCAGCCAGTCCTAGATGTAGGCTGGGTGGTCAGAGACCAAGGATGGACGAGGGGCACAAAATGGAGAAAAGCCTAATTATCACTCACATCCAAGGAGGAATTTAGACTAATGAGTCGATCTACTAGCATTCATTCTGGCACTCAGTAACTCAGCAACTTCTGGACCCCCAGCAACGTGTTCTCAAAGCCCCCACTTTGCAAAGCTGCCCATCAAATTTTCCATCTCTTGTCAGTGATGAGAGGAGCAGGTAGCCTATATAACCCTCTGCTCTATAAGCCCCTGTAACATTCTCAGAGGGGGGCATCTCAGTGAGACATCTCCATGCTCTGTACAATGATCATGGGTTCTATACAATGAACACATGATCAAATACAAAGTTCTGTACAATGATCATGTGTGTCTACATCTCCATGTTCTGTACGATAATCATGTGTGTCTACATCTCCATGTTCTATACGATAATCGTGTGTCTCTATATTTTTGTGTTTGACCCAGCTTTGCCTACAATCCTTCCTGTTTGGGGTGTTTGGAATTACTATAGTTAGCTGATCACTAGGAGGGCAGAAAATTAATAATAATAATAAAATAATAATAATAATAATAATAATAATAATAATAATAATACCCCAAGGAAGGCAGAAGAGAAGATGAAACAAGTTGGATGAGCAGCTGATGGGATCCTTAAAACCCTCTATGAGTTGCTGCTTTACCAAGTCAGACAATCTCATCTGAAGACTGTTCTATGATGTAACAAAGCTCCTTGTCACTAACGAAAAGAAATTCAATTTCAGGGGATCCCTCTTTTCCTACTAACAATGACTTTTCTTTACTTCTCCTCAGCCTGAACCATTCTTACTTACCAACATTCCATCGAATTCTAGCACGGCCATGTTTAATGACTGTTACCTGCTCAGGGCTCCTGACTATGGGAACTAGGGAGCAAGGTCTGATTTTGGCAAGTGCTTCCTATTGCTTTACTTCCCACCTTGCCCCTACCCCTGCTTCTGAGTCACACGCTGCATGCTTTCCCCCATGACTTACCAGTTTAACACCTCTATGACAACAAATATTATTTTTCCCTTTCCTTTGGCGAAGTGTGAACTGAAAACAATTAACAAGACACTTCCTAAAAGGTCTTGTTGTATCGCTAGCTTTGGGCAAATACCTAGACAGAGAACTGCCTGTGATAAGGGGCCTTACTCTGAGACATCAGAAAGGTGGCGAAGCCTCTGGAAGGTGGGCCAAGCACTCACCAGCTGCTTCTCAGAGAAGCAATGAAGGAGAAAGAAAGACAAACATAATAGGAACAAAGCATAAGGGATGGAACTAGGGGAGAGAGAGAGAGAGAGAGAGAGAGAGAGAGAGAGAGAGAGAGAGAGAGAGAGCGAGCTGTAGTTTAGCATCATAAAGGAGAATTGCCTTGAACATTTGACAAGAATACTTTGCAGAGCTGGGCAAGGTGGTGCACACCTTCAATCCCAGCAATTGGGAGGCAGAGACAGGAGGATCTCTGTGAGTTCGAGGCCAGCCTGGTCTATATAGCCCAATCAGAGAGAGACCCTAACCTCCCCGCGTGCACCCCCCCCCCCCCCCCCCCGCCACAAAAAAAATTGTTTAGGAGTGGGCTTTGGTAGCATTATTCAGTAGTTAACAGAACATCAAATGTTGGCCTAGCTGGTTTATGGAACAGAGATGCAGATGACCCCAAA